TGTGCAACTCATCTCGCACGAAAGAACGTGCTTTAAACAGTTTTAAATACATATAAATGTAACTTTGTTTAACCTATGAATATTTTTATATAAGAAGTAATGTGAAAATCATGCCATATATGAGGAATGGAATGATTATTAGTACTATATAGAATTTATCCTATTCACCTTGTGCCATTTTCATTTCCTCCCTATCTATTCTCTTCATTCCAGTCAGCAATAGAACAATAATCACAGCTAACAGACCACCAACATAGGGTCCAACAAGGTAAATCCATAAACTAGTGTTGCCATCTTGACTCGAATTAATCAATGCCGGCCCTAGTGTACGAAATGGATTCATTGATGATGAATTTATTTGACTACCTAATATCGTATTAAATATAATAATAGATCCAACTGCTAAATGCTGCCAGAGGTCCAATAATGCTTCCACGTGTTGATGTTTGTAAAATAACAAACATTAAAATAAACGACAAAATGACTTCCCATCCAAAACCTCCAACATCCGCCGACAGCAGCATATGATCGACCGAATTCGTACCATAATAAGCATTTTCTTTGAATAAAACAGCTATAAGATCACCAGCTGATAATGAAGCAAGAAATTGAACTACATAATAAAACGGTAGCCAACTAAATGGAAATGTCCTTCTTAAAGAAAATATAAGCGTAACAACGGGATTAAAATGTGCACCTGATAAACTTCCCAAGGAGTAGATCAAATTGACAATGATCAATCCGTTGGCTATTGCATGCTCGATAGCTGACATACGTTTTAAATTCATTTGTATTCTCAAACTTGCATGACCTAATACTAACAAAAACGTACCAACAAATTCGCATAACAAACGACGTAAAAGTTTTAGTAACGCATTCATATTATTTCTTGTATACTCATCATATCGATAAGTCAACTCAGTTATTCCATGTTGTTGTGGTACTCGATCTTGCCATTGTATGTTATTCAATGATTTCAATATCTGCATTTGCTGTTTTCGTTCGAGTTCAATACGACGTTTATTTTCTTTTTCTTCCCATTGTTGTTTTTGAGATTCTTCTATTATCGGTGGCTCGATAACGTAACAATATAATTTTCGAACTACGTATGACATTATAATTAAGAGGCAAATGTTTTACAGTATCTTTAACCAGAGTATATATCATAAACCAAAGATAAACATAGAATCATAAACATGACGTATCTACGCTAGGAGTGCATCGGTTATTTTTTCGTATTTTTCAAAAATTCACAATAATGTTTTGTATTTTCATAAAAACGATTTGCAACATTTTTCTAAAATGGCAGTTTTGTAGAGAAAACATTTCTCTACAAGATGATATATAACAGTTAATTTTAAAGTTTTTTGTTTCCTTTTAGAAAGCGTTTTCCTCAAACCTACGGTCGGTTAATAACCGTCGGTTATTAACCGATACGCCTCTCTATCAAAAACGCTTTTTAAAGAAACCCAAAACCTTTAAAATTAATTATTATGTACCATCTTGTAGAGAAATGTTTTCTCTACAAAACTGCCATTTTAGAAAAATGTTGCAAATCGTTTTTATGAAAATACAAAACATTTATTGTGAATTTTTGAAAAATACAAAAAAATAACCGATGCACTCCTAATCTACGCATTTTGTTTTACATACCACCAATATAACCAGATGATTAAGTTCAACAAAAATAGTGTTAACGGATAACCAGAAACAGATTTGTCTTATATCATTTATTTTATAAACAGTTTTATGTTTTATTGCATAGTAATAATCTTTTACTCTTTTCTTTACTTTTGAGTTCTCTTTTGTATTTTTCTCGTTGTCTCTTTTCTGTTCTTCATATTTGGCATGATTTGGCATGATCACGTTATTTCTTGTATAAAAGTAACAAAGTACATTTACATGTATTTAAAACAGAGGGGAGACAAGCACAAATATAAATACTTGTACTGAAAAAATGTACCTGTACTTGCAAGTGAAGTACATTTCAAGTACCTAGAGTACTTTTTGTCCACTAATACTTTTTCGTATTTTCAAAAAGTACTTTCCAGTGCAAACCAATTCAAAGCATCAAGCATTAGAAATCATACATTAGTCTATATATTACCACTCTCTGCGCAAAATGAATGTTCGAGGCTACTATCTGTCGAAAGTAAATAGTATTAGTGAGTCCTTTCTACATCGAGAATAATAGTGTGTGTATCAGAAAATACTTCAGAACTATTAACTGACAAAAAGTACCGAAAGTACTTCAAATGTACTTCAATTGCAAATACAAGTACATTTTTGAAGTACAAGTATTTGTACTTTGTACTTGAAAAGTAAAAACAGTAGAAGTACAAGTAAAAGTATCCCTCCTCCGATTTAAAACCGTTCGAAACACGTTCTTTCGTCCGAGACTAGTTGTACG